TTTGGCAAATCAAATCGCAGCGTGGAGTTCAGCTCTGGTGGACTCTGGCCCACGACATTCACTTCACATTTGTATACATGTGACCTTGTCCACTGGTCATGTGTGTCAGTTGTTCTACAACAAATGTCAGATTGTACACTTTGCATCAGTAGATGTGGGGTTATTAATATCTCAGTGTTGCAGTTTGGATCACAGACTTATTCTTTGTTCAATGTGAAGCAGTTTCTGCCAGTCCTGTCAGTTTCATTACATCCACTGTTCTGACAGTGTTCGATATCATTTTGCTTTCCTGAACAGATTGTAAATATCTTCCCTGGTTTACTCACTGACTCACTCTCAATTGAAAAGATGAAGGCTGGTGATTAACATGGAAGCCATAATGCATCCTTAATGATTCCTGAGTTAGTGTGTCCTCAAATTGGCCAGAGCAAGAACAGATGGCCCCACAGGGGGAATCTAGACACGCTCACTGTGCCTGTGACAACTTTAAAAATTGTGTGTGTCTGTGTGTGTGTGTGTGTGTGTGTGTGAGTCAGATTATGTCTCAACATTAGTGTATTACATTGCTCTAAATAAGAATGTGCTCTCAGTCAGCAATTGTGGTTACATAAGAAGAAGAAGAACCAGTGTGTGTTTGCATGTTTCAGGAGTTGTGTATTTGTAAGGCAACATTAAAACATACATTATCTTTGGAGTTTACCTTGGGTCTTGGGAGGATATGTGCATTTCTTGTCAGCATAGATTCCCTTCTATATTCTGTACATCAAATGCAGGCTAGGAGGCGTAAAGGTCTCTGTCTACATCACTTCTACTGCTCTTTTTCTCACAGCTGTCTTGTCACTGTCCTGTTTTTGACAGGACTGTGGTAGAAACAGTTACAGGTGTCGTAAAATGTGTCAGTCAGCCTTCTAGCTCAGCAACCCCCGCAGATGGGACTTGATGACGTGAGAGATGTCAGACGAGATGACAGAAGCTAAAATGTTGAGAAGTCGCCTTGTGCACATATTTTCTCAACTCTGTCAAGTGCAATGTGTGCATTGAGATGAGAAAATACATGCATGCAAAAGTGAAGAACAGAGACTTTCAGAGGAGGAGAGAAGGATGACGTATCAAAAAAGGCAAAATTCGGAAGGAAAATGTTCACAGAATTGCTGTTCAGAGAGAAGAAACTAATTAGCCACAGTCAACACAAAGAAAAAATTAAGTCTAATATTGTTTTTAAACATAATGCTGGAGCAAATAACAGTACTTTTTAAAATGATATTTAACTTTAATACATAGACTTGTGTAATTCACCAAAATCCAACTTCACAGTCACTTACTGGTTTATATTTACACTTGCCATTCTGTAGCATACAGATGGAGCAAAGCAGCTGAGAGATGGGTGGAGATAAATATGGCGCTAATTAACATATCTATAAATTTCCTGAATACTCAATGAGGGAAGAGTGTCAAGTTACATCTAATTTTAAGGCAATGAAGGAAGGAGGCTATCAAGGTTTTCTCCTGGACTCATATATTATATACATATATGTATATATATATAAATATTATATTTTTTTACATTATATGACACTATAAGTTTTCTATCGCCTCTCTTAACTCCCCCTCGTTGCTTGTTCCACTCACTTTCCCCTGGATCCAATCCCTGCGGTCGCTGCCAACCCTTCAGGCTTCTCCCCTGCAAAAACCCTCTGTCTTTTTATGTTTGACTTCACTGGCAATGAGATACTCTGGGACTATGAAGCAGCACAACACTGCTCTTATTTTGTGATGATGTCAAAGAAAGTGTGATCCAACAGGGGAAAAAAGGAAAATAAAGAGAACTGGCTGAGGTGTAGAGTTGCCTGGCAACAACTTCCCACCTTTTGTAGGAGCTGGCCTTCGTCAGATTGCAGCAAAGACATTTAGAGCATAAAAGTTAGTTTGCACAAACTGAAGGACAAAATAAACTGCTGCAGAGTAATTGCAGAATAACCACATGCAGTGACCAACTAACAATTGGATGTGGACAATGGCTTTCATGTCTTCTGGTCAGTTTCTTTTTTCGTTAATCCTAAGCGATTTTTTGCATCACTGCACTCTATTTTACCCATTTAAACTCTCACAGATGAGTGTACAAATGGCAGCAGGCCGCCCGCTTGTTAGGACGACCAGTTGCAAACTTGCTCCTGTGTGCAAATTTGCTCTGCTGCTGCAGGGAGATGTCACTGAAATCCAGAGGGGGGGGGGGTCCAAAATCTGAACATGAAATAAGATAATACTGTCAAAATGGTACAACACGCTCTTGAGGAAAGAAAAGGAAAAAAACTGGGAGTGGGGGTGAAGGTGGTTGTAATAATAATCATAACTTCAGTCTTAATGTTCACATAATAGAACAACTGTTCATGTCAGCCTCTGAGATGTAGTTTAAGTATCAGGGATTTCAGTGTGTCCCACTTGGTAGAAAAAGAGTTGGCAAGGCTGCATCAGTTAAAGTAACATCTTAGTCCTTTTTTACACGTCTGTCAGTTTAATTTTCGAATAAGCTATTACATGTACCGTCCCAAGTCTTTTAGGCTTTTGGACAAAAAAGTTGAAAGTTTATGGACAGCCTGGAGAATTTGGAACGTCTCTGCATAGATTACATAAAGCCGGAATGCAGAATGTCAGTTTCCAAGGCGACTGTATTTTTGTGTCTTTGTTCTCATTCTCATCTGTAGGTTCCCACAGTACTCTTGGCACTTTTTTATCAATAGAGGCCTCTCGTGTTGGTAAGTCCCAGTGATGCTTGGTTAAGGGGCAAATTGAAAACGTGATAAAAGAAAGTCATGAAAGCGAAAGCGCTGAAATAATAAAGTATTGTTTGTGGATTAGCTTAAAGGATTGATGCACTCAAAATGGAGGAAAAAGATCCATATAATAATATATTTATTTTACATTTAAAGCATTTAGCTGACACATTTGTAAGTTGGCTGCACTATAACACTACACTAAATAGCACAGCTTAGATCATCATTATAACCATTAGTGATAGTAAGAAATACATGGACCGTTTAAAAATATTCTGCTGTATATTCTTTGACCACTGACTCATGATTAAAAAATGATATTCTGTTTTAATTAAGGACTGCAGGTAACATAGCTGCACTGCTAACACGAAGATTTGTCAGATGATAGCAGATGCTGTCCCTGTCTCTCTATTATCAATCCACTTGGCAAGCAAATATGAAAGATTACTCTCCCGGGAAATTCACTATTCTCTCTCCTCATAATTGTCAGACAAAGTTTAAAACAAAAACTAAACTAAAAACACATGGCTGATGAATCAGACATTTGTCACCCACATCTTCGCTGGACAATTGTGTTTATGTACTGGTTGGCGTTTTCAAGGCTTTATCATTCGTCGGTGGTTTGGAGTGCTGTGGATAAAGGGGATTGGATGTTTGCTGCCATCTCTCACATTTCAGCGCGGGACTCAGGCAGTGAATGTGGAGATTGTCACGGTCGGATGTTGCTGGCTTTGTGAGAGATGTGAAAGAAATCCTCGGTTAAAACCTTGAAATGTTTCTTTAATCCAGATCTCATGTATGCATACTGCATGCAACCACATATTGCACTCTCTCTGCAGAATGTAATTTCAAAGTAAAAAAGAGGATATTTGACAGGTTTTTAATGCATCAGTAAAATCCATATAAACAGTTATATTGTATTTAATAGTTAAAAAAAAGGAGTTGCTAAGCAACACATACTTGTGGTAGTATTGTTGATGAGTGCAGTATTTTTTGCTGGTTCATGATGTGAGCAAAAGCTTCCAATTATCTGTTTAAGGATTTGTGTTCTTGTGCTGATGTCATGTTCCAGGATTCCACCCTAAAGTCCGGCTGGTGCACTTTTCAACCCTCCCACAGCCCATTCTGTGACGTACTTATAATCAGCCATAGCTAATTAAGGAGCTTATGATATTTCTGCTCAGCTCCCTGCAGTGTGACTCGTACAGCTGTATCCAAATGCTATTGATTGTGGCTGCTGGTGTTTGTATCTTCTGTTATTTCTTCCTCCTGCACAACAGCCCCTCAGGCATTGAGGACTATGATGTGTCATAAAGATGAAGGCTAGAGTTGACATTATGTGGATTTAGAGTGTGTGCGTCTCAGACAGTGTGTTTGTGTGTCTGTACAAGCTCGAGGGTTTAATTTCTCTTCAGAGTGACTCACTAGACTTTTGTGACTTTTACTCATATGTTGTTTGATTGTAGGTATTTAATACATTTCCACCGCACTGATTCTAACCTTTTGGTGACATAGGAAACTCATACTTTATAATAAATGCATTATAATAAGTGCCTTCCCATCAATTCCACGCAATTTTTAAAAGTGTGCATCTCAGAAGGAGAGGGGAGGAGTTAGTGAAGGGCATTAGGGAAGGACAGGAGGTGGTGGAAATGTGATGCTCTTCAAACCGTCATGCTAATGAGGAGGATTATTATGCCCCCTATCTCCCCCACACCCCACCCCACCCCCACTCTCAGGCAATGGAGGCAGAGGGGTGGTGTGTTGCAGCAAGCTTGTTCCGACTGTGTGACGTGTGTGTGTGTGTGTGTTTGTAAATGGACTCCATCCACTTTATTAGGTACTCATCCCTGTTTATGACAACAGAGTTCAGCCACTGATTCAAATAAACAGCAGAGGTGTAGAAAGTATGCAGACTGGGTTCAGAGGCATTAGTGTGGCTTCTAAAGTCAGATGCAAATGTTCTTGGGTCATAGAAACCTGCACTGCCACATGCACACAAACTCATAATGATCTGTGCTCCTTATTTCCCTTCCTCCTCACGCACACATCCTCTTTCACACCCCCTCTCCATACTCTCTCCTCCCGTCCCCCTCCTCCCTCGCTCAGCAGCAGCCAGTGGTATGCTCCACTCATCTTCACTCTCCCCCGTCTCTCTCTCTCTCTCTCTCTCTCTCTCTCTCTCTCTCTACTCCCACCCTCTCTCTCTCCACGGTCAGCCTCAGCAGTCTTCACACCGGAGCTCGACACTGGTTCAGCAACGATTCGTACATGCACGTGTGTGTTTCTTGGCTGCTGGATTCCTGAGGACGCTCGGTATTCAGAGTGCGCAAGTTGATCTGCAGGAGAATGTGCGTGTGATTATCCCTGGAGCATCTCTTGTGTGAAGGGGCATGTGTGCAGAGTGAGTGTCAGTGTGAGGATGCATGGTGGGCAGGTGCTGTTGTGATCGGCGGAGTTTTCGGTGTACAATCGTCGTTCTGTCTGCCTCCCCCCTTTTCCTCCCATTTGGCGGTGTCCTGTTAGGGCAGAAAGCGTCCTGCTGGGATGTCCACCTCGCCTGGTGCAACAGACGGGAGCCAAAGGAACTCCTGTAAGTGACTTTTTATCTTCTCCTGTGATTGGGAGTGGTGATGTGTGTGGGTTTCAGTATGGGTGACATACAGTTCAAGGCAATATAACAGCAAACACGTTTTATCATTCATTACATGAGGTCACAAGTGAAATAAAGAATGTATGTTGTTGGTAGTAGGAATGTGAAGTTGTGTGTGTGTAGGAGTGCGGATGCCAAGGACGTGATTGTGTAACACTGCACAGTTGGTTTAAGAGAACATCGTAGTAAAAGTACGGGGGGGGGGGGGGGTATAAATGTATTCTTGTGTGTGCATACTTGCAATCGGCTCAAGAAGGTACGAGCACATGAGGGGGTGTGTATCGTGGGCGTCTGTTGGATCGTGCATGAGTTTGTTGACATCGTCCCTGGAGCTTCTCCAGCTGTCGATCTGTTGGACGCAATCGACAACCAAGCCAGCTGTGTCTTCTCAGTGAGAGGATGTCAGTCACGAGTGTCAAACTGATCACTATTTAATTACCTCCGCCAAGGAGGTTATGTTTTCACCCCGGTCCGTTGGTTTGTTGGCTGGTTTACTCACACATAGATATCAGTTCTTTAAAAATGTCTAATTCTTGTCATCAGGATCCATGAATTACTCCCTGTGTTTTACATTTTGTATTCTATATAACCTCTATCAAAGAGGTTCTATTTTCACCCTTCAAAGCACTAATATCCGAGGGATAATTCATGGATCAGACATATTTAGTGAACGAAAACAAGGTATAAAATTTGGTGCAGCTTGTTATAATTTAAAGGGACTATTTATTATATATGTGCTTTATATTATGTGCTTGTCATTCTAGTTTATATCTGGAAAAGACAACACAGAATGAAATCTGGGGGGGGGGTCTTTCAGGTCTTTCAGTTTGTCTGTTTCTGTTTCTGTCGTGTTATTGATTAAGTGTGGGACAAGACAGTGCAATGATTGTGATAATGGAACCTGGCTCTATCGTTATGATATGATGATGATGTCTATTAGTTATTCTGTGAGTGAGAGTGTGTGGGACTACTTTGCAGTTTCAGTGTTTGACTTCATTTTGGCCTGAAGCTTTGCAAACACACACACACAGTCACACACACACACACGGTCACATTACTGTACTGTAAGTGGGTGATTGATAAGATGATGTGACTCATTTGAACTCCTCTGAGAGCTCGATGTGGGAACATACACATACAGCAATTCTCTTCCACACACACATGCGTCCACACGCTGACGGCCGTGACTGAGGCACAGATCACATCTAGGAAAATGGGTCTCCTTTTATTGCTTTCATTAATATTGCACCATCCCCCTCCTCTTGCTTTCATTCCCCCTTTTTTCTCCCCCCTTTACTACCTTTCATACAACCCGCCTGGAAACCTTCTGTGTGTCTGGGTGATGTGTTAATAATCACACACTTACACACCCACAGCAAAAGCCTCCCGTGTATTTACAACAGAATTTTCTTTTGTAATTACATCATTGAACACAAGCTTATTGTTTTATAACTCACATTTCACACAATTATCTGTGCTTCTTGGCTGCTCTGCTCTGCACTTGACCTGTTTGTTCCTTGTCAAGATATATCCATCACATTGTCTTCTTATAGAGCGGTGCCTTCACATGGAAATATCAAGTGGCCGTGGGCTCTGATTACTGAGCTACTAACCATAGAGTTACATAACCAAATATACCATCTGAGGAAAGTCAGACCCAGCTAAACAACAGCTGAAAAGAAAAATGGAGATGCGTTGAATATTAGATTCACTTTTAAAATAATTTAATGAGTTGAGAATGGTCCTTTTGTTTTTGACAACGCAGTAAATAAGATTATAATAGTGTAATTGCATAATACCACACCAATTGAGACAAAAATAAACCATAGCTATGAACTATTTCTGGACCTTTTATTTGTAAAGCAGTAATATTTTTAGCTAAAAATGATCAGTGGCATTATTAATCTGGCAGGCTGGCTCAGAGTGGTGTTATCACAATGTAATGCTGGTGCAGAGCTCGCTCCCCCTGGTAGTTTGTGTCCTCTGTAAAGGAGCAACAGCAGGCACCTGCCACCGAGATGGATGTGCTTTGTCATCACTTCTCCTGCCAAATGATTTCCTGTCTCACCTCACCTTTCTGCTCCTCACCCCTATTCTCACCCACACATCCCTCTCCCTCTCCCTCTCCCTCTCCCTCTCCCTCTCCCTCTCTCCCTCTCCCTCTCCCTCCCTCTCCGCCTGTATCCCAACCTTCCTTTCATTTTGTGCCTGGTTGCTGCACACACCTGCTCTCTTTCTCTGCCGGTGGTCTCATTTGTTCCTCTCCTCTCCTCCTCCTCCTCTCCTCTCGTCTGGTTTATCTGGGTTCACATGAAACTTTAATTGCATGTAAATCAAAACGCTGCAGATGTGATTAGGCTTTTGTGCTGCTTTAATGAAGGGAGTCTGGACTATTGAAAGAGGGTACAGTTGCTTGCTCCTGCACTGTCTCTGATGGCTAAAGCCAAACTCAACTTTTAATGCTACCAGAAGAAATCTGTCTTTACTCCAAGAAATAAAGTTTTCAGGGATTAAACAAAATATGTTGGAGGACTGTTAGTCTTGAAGTTTTCTCTCTACTCAGTATTTAACATTCTATATAATCTATTAAGAAAACACTGTTTGATGGTCATTACAACAATATCATTAAATGTATATGTGTTTGTTGGTTATGGCTGATATATCCAGAGCATTTTAAAATGGTAATTAGCATGCAGTGGAGTTATTCTGATAACAAATTGCCAAGTAGTGGATAAACAGGAAAGGTGGGAGTTTCTAATATGTGACATTTAGAGGCAGCAGCACAGACGGTGCTCAAGTTTTTTATGTTCAAGCTAATATTTGTTTGTGCTGTACGGCACTTTAAGAGACCTGATGGCTGTCAAGAGGAAATATTCAATTCCAGTGTTGATCTTTTAACCAGTGACTATGTTAACATAAACAGCAATTTCCCAGTTCTTGACCTTATTAGGAATAAGTCATTGATTATGATGTTTACATGAGTTTCCATTAGAATATTCTATTAATTTCCTGTTTACATGTTACAGAGCCCATATTCCCAATTCACAGTTTGCCTCATTTAAATTAATCAGAACTTGCTGTTTACATGGCAGAGTCTAATTCAGACTATTGGATCTGGATCTGGTTAATATCAGCATATTGGTGTTGATGTAAACGTGACTAGTGTCTCCTGCGTGTGTTGTATGTGTTTGTTATGGACATTTCGTTAATTAAGTTTTTTTCTTTTTCACTTAATGTTCACTGTCTTATTTTGGGGCCTCTCTGACAGTAAGAGAGAAGTCAGAAGAAGATTATCTAAATCCGCCACATATTTGTGTTATATTACTGAGTCCTCTTTTCTATATTTGCAGTATTCAGAGGACCCAAGGCTGAGTTAGTAAGATAGAGTGGTAACAACTGGAGGAGATAATATTTCTGCGAGAGGGCACAAATAGAGAAGATAAAACCAAGATTTGGTCAGATGAGTCAGGGTTGAGATGTATTTGTCCAACATGAAGAATAATGCTATATGGGAAGATTATACTTTTTTTTGCAAGGACAAGATTTGGTGATGGCAATAGAACTGTTGACTTTCAGCGTTCTTGTACTTGAGACTTCTGCTTAACTTCATCGTTCTCCAGAAAAAACTCATCTCCACCCTACAAGATCTCCCTCACAGTGTGTGTATGCTTGCTTGTATATTTTTATGCACACATTTCTCCATGCACCTCACTCTCATGTAAATTAAATGGCATTCTGCTGCTAATTAACATTCTCAAACATTGCACATATAGATGGTAAACACAGACGCTGTGTGATAATTTGCTTGTTCATCTTGTCTGGAAAACAACTGGAGAAGGTTAAGGCTGAGTGTGATGGTATTAATTATGTTTAAAATTAGGTCTGGTTCAAGAGATGAAAGAATCTCTGCTGTCAAAGGATAAAGTCAAGGACAGAGCATGACTTGATTTTCACGAGACACAATAATCGCATTTTAACCTTGACTGACTCCACGATTTTTCCTTTTTGTTGCATGTGACATGAAACAGTAATTCGATCTGTTGGATTAAGTGTCATTATTTCAGTTCCGTGTGAAAATCTAGTCTTTGTGTAGCATCCACTGTTACATAACCGATGCATGTGTGCAGTTGCATAAATCCGGAGTCTGCTCATGCACATGCCCACAAATATGTACACACAGAAGTGCAAGAATTGTAAACGCTATATTTTTAGCTGCAGTGGTTTACTATGATAGTGATGCTAATTATCCGAATTTTTGTTTTTGTTACTCACTTGTTCTTCAGGATCACAGACATGTCAGCTTTAAAATAGAAATTTACAGTGTTTCCTTCCCTCCCTCCATCAGTCCCTCTTTTCCTTTCTTCAAGCAGCGTCCACCTGGCTGAACAGGTGTCGTTGGCAAACCCCAAATTATGTAATGTCCCCTCCTAAACCTCACACTGTTTACTCCGCTTCTGTCTGGGTTTCCCATGATGTCTTCACACTGAGATCATCTTCGTTTAATTAGATCAGGAGGAACTGTCTCGCGGCAAAGATGATTGTTGCATTCACAGTGTCACAAAGAGTGCAACAGAAGGAGAAGGGAAGAGAGGACACAAAGGGAGGAAGGGGGACGATGTGAGACTGAGCAAGGGGGAGATGTAGAGGAAATTGTTGGGTAGGAGAAAAGCAGAGGGAGAGAGGGAGGAAATGAACAATGAAGAAGGAAAGAGGATGAGAGCAAAGCGAGCAGATGAAGAAGGGAGCAGTGCAGCTGAGAAAGGGTAAAATAGAAAGAGCTGAGATAAACAGGTGGAGGCTGAAGGAGAGTGGGTGAAAGGACAGACTGAGCAGAGAATAATAGACAGAGGATATGGATGAGGAATTAAGAGGACTGAGCCAAACAAAAGAGGGAACGACAGGATGCTTTTATTCTACATTTATTAGTAACACATGTACAC